GCCTGCACTTCCCCCCCCCATCCTTCCGATATAATTTATACCTGCTGAAGTCCTTCTCTAGAAAGAACAGATGTTCTCACAATATCATCAATAGTCCACCACTGATCTGCAAGGAACAGGGCAACAGCTGAAATGAGAAATGCAAGTCTGATGTTAGTTAAATGTTGAGCCTTGCTTATGTCTAAGAAACTTACTTCATTACATTACTTTTTAATAATTAATTCACTTCTAGACTTAATTAGAATGCAACACTGAATACTTGATCAATGTGTATAGTCATAAACAACAATATTTTTGAGGTGCTTTAAAGCAGCCAGTCAGTTACCATTCCATAATGAAGCACCCGCATTTTAAGAAGCTAAAAATCTGCAGCTCTCAGATTTCTATGGTATTTCCTTTCTAGTAGCATGCATGGGCTTCATGTCCAAAGGGAATGGTTTTCTCCAAAAAAGGGAGGGGGAGGGGGAGAGACAGACTGGATAGGTTTTCTTCCTCAACCTCCGAACTAGCAGTACTGAGAGGAAAAACAAGGAGTCCTGTTTCTCTACAGCTGTCTACCATCTGGGTCCCTTATAGGCTCCTGGGATAAGAGAATCCACCTCTTCACATCTCAAAGGAGATGGGAGATGGGCTGGCCCTCACTGTACTGGAAGTTGCTCCCAATCAGTGGTGGAAAAGTACAGTCCCAGCTTTCTGGGAAAGGCCCCAATGACATTTGAGTGACTGTTGTGTTACCTACAGATGGTCAGAAAGCCACAAGATATGACACTAAGAGGAAAGCAATGGCCACATCAATATCGTGCTTCCTGGCCTAGGCATTACGTAACTGGGCTAGGAGTTACCCTTCTCCTAGCAACTGCAGGACCACTTTTGGAGCAGCCAGCTTTATACTCTCAACTATGACAGCCAGAGACGTGACAAAAACCAGGGCACAACTGCATTAGATCTGTTTCACAGCAAGAACAAGAAACAAACAGGCATAAAGCAGAATGATACAATTCTGAGATTAAAATTTTAAAATAAGACCTGCAAGTGAATCCTCCGGAGCAAACAAAGCGAGGACTTTGTGTCTCTCCTCTCCACCATAAAGAGGAACAAAGCCTACCGTTGATAAGCAAATTGGAATCTGGGAAGAGAGAGAGAACAAGTTTACCATGTTTCAATTGACATTTTTTGTACATTGTTAGCACAGCAACACAGACCATAATGGTCTAAAGAGGAGACAATAGGCTCGGTTTTCCAGTTCCATCATTAAAAGATGCAAGGTTAAAACAGAACAAGTACACACACCCCTCAGTTTGCTTTGTATCAATTTATGAAAGACTATATGTATGAAATCTAGATATAGCCGCTGTTAATGTGGAGTAAAATTGTTATGACAAACCCAACTGAGGTGGGAGGAACAGAAAAAAAGACTAAAGTTGTGAGTCGTACCAAGGAACTTGGGTAACAGGGTGTGAGGATAGAATAAATTGATTTATCTTCTTGTAATCTGGTCTTTCTGGAAATATTCTGCCCTCAAAAATTTGGCCTGGTTAGCAGGCCCCCATGTACCCTCTCTAATGGTGGGAGCTAAAAATTTCAAAAGTCCAATAAAGTCCACTGTTAATAAAATGGTAATATATCAAGATATGAATGCCCACCCCATTGCATGTTGTTAGCAGAAAGCATAGAGAAGCAGCTCCACAACTTTCTCCTTTTACGTCATTAGTAAATAATGTCCCTGAAGAACAGCCACTATTCACAGGGGTTTTATTCCTATACACAAAAAGCGCATGTGATATAAAACAACCCCAGTAAAATTAACTGATTTTTTTTTAACCTGAGGTAATTTTTTTAAAACCACAAAGTAAACATACTGGTGATATTGGGATTTTAAAAAACCACCTGTGGGTTCTTCCAGAAAGTACTGATCTGGTGAAGTACTGTTAAGTGCACTGACAAGATACAGTGTTCTCAGTCTTTTCACAGAAAGATGACATAAATAATATTCTCCTCATAATTGTTCTCAGTTACAGAACGTGAAAAAGGGAGAGGGGAATCTACAGCCATTATACCTCATGTGAAAGCATGTATCAAGGTTCTGAGTGTTTGAAAAGAGCTCTAAGTGTTGTGAAGAACACGAGATACCAAAAACAGGTTTTGGGGGGGCATTTTTCTACCCCGCAATATAGTGGTATTTGACTTGAGGTACTGAATACATCAACTACAATTTATGTACTTTTTCCATAAACTGACATAAAAGTGGGGGGGGGGAGAGAATATCTGGAAACTTACTTTGACATTATTGGCAAGAGAAAGGAACTCTGGGTTTTCCGGATCCCCACACCTAAGATCAGAAAGATAGTCTTCTGCAGAACTCTCCAGATCTTCATGACTGTAGTTTTCCAGCAAGTCCACAGGGAATGCCATCCCCTGGAAACAGATCCCATATACAGGATTATTGCAATAGACACACTAAAGCAACCGAATCTATTTTAAAAGGCATCAAAATTGGCAGAGAAGCAGAGAAAGGTCCTTAATACCCACTCTTCATATATACTCAGCAATACAGGTCTGCTTACACAAACTATCATACCATGTAGGCCTCTTGCTCTTAAAAACCCCGCAGACAGAGCAGTAATAGCAAAGCCCTACTTACAAGAGTAGGCCTTTGCTGTTAATCCTGTTACACTTGCAGCTGGGTCAGATGGGATGCTGTCAAAAGAAGGATAAGATGGAGCTTCCAATCTAGGCAGCAAAGTGCTATCCGTCATATTAAAACCAAGACAGCAGTCTACGAATGAGTAACTGAAATCTTCAATCAAAATAACTTCACATGCACTTTTCTTTTGGCACTACTAAAGGACTAGCTGACTTCACTGACAGAAAGAAATGTATGGATTATGCTACTGATTTTCCTGAAACACATATTTAGCATTTATATCTGTAACCTCAAACAACTGTTCTTCAGTTTCTACAATTTACCCACAAGGCTCATTATCAGGGTCGGCAGGCCATGCCTGGCAACCAGCAGAAACGGGGGCATTGGTGACACAGCTATGTCACTTCTAGGGAAGCCTGGAAGGGACATCATGCCTCTGTAGGAATCACTGGAAACTCTTATGCTAAAATTGCAGAGCTTCGAGCAATATTGTCAACTCCAGGTTTTACCCAGAAGTGACATCACACTGTCTGCCCAAAAGCCATTTGTTTTTCTTCCCCCTCACCACTGCTCCAAGAAGTGGTAGGAAATGGGAGCTGGAGACAGGGGATCCCATTTCCCCAGTAAGGACCTGGCACCCCTGCTCAGGATTAATGCAGTCCTAAACAGACATTTGAAATAAAACTTCATCCAAATAAGTGGAAGAAGTGAAATGTTTTAACACTGATAGCATTCCAAATACATCCAAACTCCCTTCAGTCATTTATTAATTTTATCATTTTTATTTGATGCATAGTCCTGTTTATAGAACATGGGAAAAAGATCTCCATGCATGATTTTAAGGAAATAAGACAGGACATAAATATTTTAAGCAGAGTAGTATTCTCTGTCAATTCTCCTCTCATAAGAAGCAATAGGGAAGACTATGACCATTACACTGTTTCTTTTCAACATTCAAACATACATAGTCACACAACATAACATTAAAAGTATGGTTGCACCAACTGTTATGTACAGTACAATGTACCCAAACATGAAAAATATCAATGGTCACAGCTGTACCTTCTTGCAAAAACCAAGATAAAACTCCAAAAACCTCATTTTGTGAACCAGACAACCATTTCAACTTGCTGGATACCCATTTCCATATATGGTAAACAGAAGCAGTGAATTTTGGTTTTCAAACTGATATGGTAATACAAAATACAAATTCCCAGTGTTACCATGGAATAGATGCACATTATAGATTCCTCAGATTAGAATCACCTCATTGTAAAGTCCATATTCTACATTGGTTGCTAGAGCAAATTATGCACTGAGAACTAGATGGTTTGTTTTTCCAACCTTTAGGCTAAAGCAGAAGATGCAAAAGGCACTTTTCATTGTAATTAGGGATAAATGACATTCCAGAGCCAATGCAGACCCGCCATTTTAAAAGGCGATTTAGAGAGGACTACAGTAGGAAATAATTTGTATTGCACACCCCTGGGAGCTACGGACTGAGCCAAGCTTCAGAGGCAGATTAGCAATTTATACACTCACCCTTTAAAGAGCTTTTAACAGCTTCCGAATTGTTTCTGGTGGTCTCCAATCTAGGAAGCCTGGTGACCCAGTTTTGCAATAATGGTACATCATATACCTTCCAAAGAATATGCTCAAGGTATTTTGCTTCCCATGTAGATCCTCACTGGATCAGGGAGGCCTATTTGATCCATAGTACATGGCTGGGAGGAAAGCAAGCCTTAGCAGCAGACCTGGAGCTCACCTTGGATCCAGGCACCCGTAAGGGAGGTAAGAGGAACAAGCCACACCTGTCACCTCCACCCGTGCCAACATGGCACCCCAGCAGACACCTGGGCATTTGCATGGTGAACCATTACTGATTACTGATCTCCCTGGACCCACTACTGACCCTAAACACACATGCTACTCTAGGATACAAGAATGACATTTCACTGAATATCTCTAATGAAGTAGCACAATTGAGGATCCAGAAGCTGGCAATTTATAAATGAGAAAAAAGCCATTTGTTCAAAGAAACAAAATTAAGCACAACTGAAGCACCCAAGAAGGAACAGAGTATTTTAAAAAGGAGGGAGTGCAGAAGAATCACAGCATATTACAATACAAGCTTCCATCATGCTTACACAACGAGACACGCAAACCACCTGCTGTAACAACAACAAAGCCTCTAGGTCATCATTCCTGACATTTTTTGGAATAAAGCAGAATCGAAGAAAACATGCAGCAACAGCTGCTGAAAAAACACACCCAACTTTATTTCTGATTATTAAAACATTCAGGAAGGAGGACAAGAATTTAGCAAGCTCCTTTTCTTTATGTAGCCCTCATGAACCAAAAGTAAATCAGTCTGTTGCATGGGACTGCTCTTAAAGTCAGCTCAGAAAATACATCAGGTACAGCTCAGTTATTACAGGGCTCAGAGTAGGCATATTATACATATTCTGCAATCACTCCATTAGTTACCAATCACTTATAGGTTTGATTCGAGATGCCTTGGACCCACATAAATCCAAGACCACCTCTCCTGCTGTGCTCCACCACATCAGGCTCATCTGGGCAAAGCTTTCCATTGGAGCCACTGTCCAAATGGGTAAAAACCAGTGGCCCATACCCTTTCTCTGTTGTGGCCCCCAGCTTGTTGAACAGCCTGCCTGAGCCAGTCAAGAAGGCTCCCATGTTTCCATCTCTCTGCAGAATGTGTACAACAGAGGTGCTCAGGAGGGCATTTTTGAAGGAAAAAGGGCTGTAGTATCATGGAATGGTTCAGCTCTTATAAAAGGGGTAGGATTGCAGTAACCACCAGGGTGGTGTAATGGTCAGAGTGGCAGGCTAAGATCTGAATCAGGTTCAAATCCCCACTTTGCCATGGAAGGTTGCTGAGTGAATTTGAGCCACTCACACACACTCAGACTAACATACCTCACAAGGTTGTTGTGAGAATAAAATGGAGGAGAACTATGTAGGTCACCCTGGTTCCCCAGTGGGGAGAAAGGTGACGTATAAATTATATAAATAAATAAATGGCACTGTTTACTGGATTATCTCGCTTTTGCTGTCTTCTACTTTTGTAATCTATTTCCTGCATTTTTATGATACATCATGTCTTGGAATGTCTTTGTCTAAATTATCTCTTGTTTCTGTAATCCTATCCATACTGCATTGTTCACTGGATCTTTTATGCTGTCTAATATTTTGTAATCTGCCCTGAGTATCAGTGAGAAAAATGTGGACTATAAATGAGATAAAGAAGCAAAAACACACAACTCAAAGTTCTCCCTCAGCAGTTGTTTCTTACATTGAAGTCCAACAGAACTGAATGAATCTCAGTTGCTTCCACTTTCATTGTTAGGTTTAAACACATTCAGCTACAAATTAATTCACCATAAAATCTATTTCTTCACGACAACCTATTTCTACCACAGAGAGGACAGCAATAAAGAAATGCCAGTTCACCATCAGATGTAAACAAACTCTTTGAAAAAGCAAATTTAATCCTCAGCTTTGTTTTTCTTAAAATATTTATGCCCCACCTCTGCATAGAAATATCTGTGAGATGGCATTTATGAAACTACTGAAAGCTTAGGAATCCGAAGGCACGAAAAAAAGCACCTCATGGTTCAAAAGCCCCTGGTTTGTACTCTATTTTTGTACTCTACTTATCAGATGGTTGATGTTTTAAGAGTTGTCATTTGTGGGACTCTGTACAAGCATGAGATGGTCAACACTTGGCTTATTAAAAATGAAGCTAAACAGTAAGCCTTTTTAAAAGTTAGCATGTTTTCTGGGAAGCATCTGGCACCTTCCATTGCAGTATTGGGGGGGGGGTGTAGTCCGAGACAGTCCTCCCTTATGAAGCCTAAATCTGCTTTTCCCTTCCCATTGCTTTAAGCCTCTGCACATTGCATGACAGTAAAACTGTCAGGTCGAATCCATGTCACATACTCTGGGACTCTGCTCTGTTCATGGGATAACCACCGGATTGGCCAGTGAATATTCTGGCTGGCTGAGCAAAGTCAATGTCGCCTAAAGCAAACTAGGTTGTAATCAGCATTCATACAAAATGAAAATTAAAAGAGAAGGGGGGGGGAGGAAATTCCAAATAATTAAAGAACAATTAGGGAAGTATTTTTATTCTGTGACTGAAATAAGCTTACACTCATTTTATTGCATTATTTAAAAGACACACACAGAGACACCACAATACAGGCTTATGTAACAGCATTAAAGGCTCTTTGTACTAAGACCCAGAAGTTGAGCTTGCTTTCCCTGTAACAGCCACAGGACTTTCCAACCTCGCCATGATCATGCAGAATGATTACGCTACAAATAGCACGTCCTTTAGTAACAGTATGGTACTGCTGCATTTGAATTCAGCATAAGAAATCATAACACAAAAACAGAGAACAGGTTTCTACAGCATTTTTATGTCAAAATGGCTGAAGTTAGAAATTAGTCCTATAAATGATGAAGTAAAGAGAGATTTATACAGAAAAAACAGGGCCAGAGATGTCCTTTTAATAGATGCTTGATGTGTGGAAAGGGGTAGTTGAAGCTTTTCATGACATGGAGGTAAGCACCCCAATTAAGCTTCTATGAAAGGGACAGGACCTTTTTTCTCCTCCAGGACAGAACTGTGGCTGTACCCCAAGACATCATACAGCAGTATAATGGGCACCAAATTCATATGACTGCAAAGACTTGGTTGACAGTGTGTGTACCTGAAACACACTGGTGGGCTAGACAT